CCCATGTCCCCAGCGTGTCCTAATACAGCTATTTATAGGGCGGGCTAAAGGCTCATGGGTGTTCAGATGGGCAGCTACTAACAAGCATTAGGAGGACCTGCAGGATAAATCTACTTACATAACAACGACAGGGTGATTCCTCCTCACAGAGACCCTGCCCACGGTCTACACATGCCCACAACACCCACTTCTTAATGTAAAGGTCCCCATTCATAAATCCTCCTGCTGTAACACAGTGTGTCGTAGAAAAGTCCTATGAGCTGAGTTTAGGCTACAGGACACTACTACATATACACAGGTGTTGGGTAGTTAAGTAGATGAACTGAAATGTTTTTCCATGATACAGTTGATCTGTGCTTTTGGTTAACATGTATGAGACAGATAAGATGGCGGCTCTGACAAACGTTAAATAAGACACTGTATGGAAACGTAACTTATACGCTTTGGATCAAAATGTTTCACTGTTTCCACAAAATGATCACAGCAATCCTCATCCATCACCATCTTTATCAATTCAGCATGCAGTCGTAGTTTGGGAAGCTTATGTTTTTTTGCACTGCCTGTATTAAGGTCCCTAGAGCACATTGACCCATAGCTATGATTCACATAAAGGTTTGATACATTTTATTATGGCAGAATTCAACATTTGAAAACTCCAGCTTCATTAATACATTTTTGTAAACTGAAAGTTTTTTGTTGAAAGTAGCGGTTGTCAAGGAAATGTAGATGTTTGAACTTTTTTAAGATTTAAAGTTCAAGAGCAGCTACTAAACGTTTATGTGGGGTTACATTGTTTTGTCAAATACTGTTTCTAAGGTCAAGAATCAACCTTCAATCTCAACAGCATTTTGACATGAAATAGTAGGTTAAACACAGGTGTTACCAATGATACCAATGAAGGTTCAGTTCCAGTCAGGTCAAACAGAGTCAGGGTGCTGCTATTGTGAATGTTGGCTCACTGGAAAGGCTGATACACTAAATGGAACAGAACCTTAATTAGTATAATTGGTAACACCTGTTGTGTTTACGCTACTATTTCATGTCAAAATGGGTGCTGTGAAAAAAGTGCTATTGGTACCTAAACTCAAATACTAAATTTGCAGTAGTATTTAAAATTTCCAATCCCTAATCATGACAAAGCTGTTTAAAATGCCTTTATGCTGAGGTATCATCTTTTTGCTCCCCTTTTTCATCAATTAGCAAATTATTTCGATCTGTTTCCGTGATTCATCCTTCCTGTATTTTGAATATACATATATCATAACAACTATAACCATAACACATAATGAACCTTGTTTGTATGCTATAATTGTGGTGTTGACATCTCACCTTATAGAGACAGAGGTCAATGACCTGGGTGCAAATCTCTCTCAGATCATTGCACACCAGCAGACGGCTGCGCACAAAGGCACACAGTTCCTCATTACCAATGGCGTCCCATACACCGTCACAGGCTAGAATTATGAACTCGTCTTCGGGCGTCCTCTCCAGCTCATACACCTCTGGCTCCGGTGACACCAGCTGCTCTGTCTGCGGCCTCCAGTCCACCTCCTTGAAGTCAAAGTCCCCCAGTGCTCTGGAAACAGCCAGCGAGCCATTCACTCTCTGCAGGGTCACAGAACCACCAGCGTTCTGGATGCGCTCCTTTTCTCTGGGGTTGAACGGCTTGTGGTCCTCCGTGTAGAAGACCACCTGGCCTTTATGGCAGAGCAGGGTGCGGGAATCCCCACAGTTGATGAAGTAAATGTAGCGTGGTGAAATCATGACGCCTGCCGCAGTGGAGCCACTTCGGTCCCAGTTGTCCTGGCGAGCCAGTTTGTGCATGTGGCGGTCGATGTCCAGGAAGCCTTCACGGATCCCCTCCTTCACCTGCTCGGGGTCCTCGTTTGCTTTCACTCCACCTGTGGGAAACCAGGGGAAAACATTTGGTTTTAAGACACAATTCTGTATAGTTTCTGGCACTGCCATGTTGTTTGTTTAGGGGCTGTAACACACGGACCCAGGTACCACATAAACTGGGGTTCTGTCTTGTGTTTGATTTGTGAAATCCGTGGCTCACTTTCACTAACATTGAATAGCCCACTGGAAATTAAGACATCCACTACAGAGAGAAAACATCATCTGTGATGTTGAGGTAAAGTGGCCCCAGTGCAACAACATGGCCGCCATAATGATGCTGAAGTGTCAAATACAGTTTAGAGCTGGATATGTTTAACCTTTATTCAACCAAGATAGCTTAAGAATATCTTTTTTGAAGGTAATGGCAATCAGTGGCAATGACAGGTAGCAGTAACAAGAATTGCAGACAAAAAATGACTGTCATGTAATTGTGATTGTTAATCTTCTCTCATATGGTTACCGATCAGTTCACGGCTCTAAATTTATTGGAAATATAAATGCAGTAAGTTTTCAATTTAAATGACGACTTTGTTAAAATGTTCTGGTTCTACCATATATGATATTACATCACATTAATTTGGCAGATGCTTTGGTGACTTACAGTAAGTGCATTTAAACTCAATGAACAAGAGCTATATGCCACCTGGACGTACATCCCCCTTCAGTACAAGTTTTAATCATGTTGAATAATTCGATTCATCGTATTAGTCACTAATTGTCCTGTACCTGTTCGCAGGATGTGCTCCAGCAGGTTTCTGGAGCAGTACTGGGCCACTGTGGTGCCTGCATGTCCATCAAACACAGCAAAGTACCCCCACTCTGACAGCTCTCCTTTCAGCTGGGGCATGCAGGTGTGGGCATCCTCCATCTGAGACCTCCAGCCCTGCATGCTCGCCACAGCATAGTTCACCAACTGAGAACCCCCCTCTGACACTTGCTTCTCCAGGATGGGACGCTCCAGGTATGGGCTCGGCATCGAGTCGTCCTCATCTAAACTGTCCTCCTCCCCAGAGCCTGTTTCCTTGGCCCCCCCTTTGAAGAAGAAGGTGACCATTTTTTCTGTCTCTTTGACCAGCTGGCGGAGGAAGGAGGGCACCTCCACGTTGCTGGCCCGCCTGGCCGTCCTCATCGCCCCACGGAGACTGCGCTCAAGCTTCTTGCTCGACCTGGCAGCAGCCCGTCTCCTCCTGGTGCCCTTCCTCCGGCCCTGTGTTTTCCGCAACAGGTCCAGCGCAACAGTTAAGCTGTGGCTCGTCCAGCAAGTAAATCAAAAGTGACTTTAAATAAGAATGATCCTGTTAGGTTGAAAACTTGGTTGGTTTCCTGTTAAGAAATTTCAGGGCCATTTTTGCATTCCTTAGCGTGTCGGTAGAGAATCCTTCTTCTTCTTCTTCTTCTTCTTCTTCTTCTTCTAGGTGTCTCTCTGTTTCTGTTTCTACGTCTCCCTCCTCCTGTTTACCCGTCCTGTGTCAGCCCTGTGCTTCTATTGGCCTATCTATTTGTGTTGATATATCCCTCTGCTCTGCCCCCACCCACTGCCTCTCTCCCTCTCCCTCCCTCAGTCTGTGTAACACTGCTGGATAATCACCTGGCCTGTGTTTGCAGACATGCATGGATTATCAGCACAACGTTTTACGCAACACAGAGGGATCCCATAATCAGCCGTGCACGTCTGTATGAGGATTTTATGTCTGAAACACATTTTTTTTAAATCCAATTAACTTCATTATGTATTTAGTCAGCATTTAGACAATTTGTCTTAGTGACGGACAATCATGTACACTTGTTTCTACTGCATTCATATGGGACTTTTGTGACATTGTAGGACAAGTTTATGAGTATATTGTATAAAAATATGCATGAAGTTCATTCTTTACCTTGGAAACAGCAGTTAACAAATCAACCACATATCAAGGTCCGTCCGGTCGCTCTTGTGGAGCTTTTGATCATATCACATGGTCTTTATGAGCAGAGGAAGTTTGACTGGCGTTCTCAAGGACAAGAATAAACTTTGAAATGAACACACAGTAGGTTAGCCAGCTAATATATATATCTTTGGGCTTAACTCAGGATTTCCGTTATCATAAAGCTTGGTATCACCTTGGTGTTATCATCTCCATGGTAACCTGTGCTGCACAGCTAGGAGCAGATTCAATTTTTTAAAAAATGACGTCATCTTTTCTACAGGAACCTGACGTGGACAAAGTACTGAGATTACAGTGTAAGTAATAAAGACATTTTATACTGTAGATCAGTAGAACTACTTGACTTAATTGAGATTGACGGACTTCTAACCAACAGAGAAATAGTTAAGCACACATTCTAGTATGTTACTATGATTATAGCTGCATATTAATTACACACACAGTTAATTAGCTCAGTAAATTATAAATGCAACATTTTCTGTGACCTTACCAGGCTTTCATTTACTTTACTTCGGGCTTATCTTACTTAAACAGTTTTCAATTATAGAATTCATTTGTATTCCTAATTAATCATAATGAGACTAGAAAATCTAAAATTACAAACGGTTTAAAAATGGCAGTATAATAATTCCTAAACTTATGTATAACCTTGTGTTTATTGTATTATTCCAACCGTTTCTACAGTTTCTTATTATACCCTTGCTGTGTGATTGCTCAGCGTCACTTTTTGCTACTGCCATAACCAAATTTCATCAGTGTTTGAGCCCATGTGATATCACGTAGCCAGACTAAGTTGAATTTTCTTCTTTATACAGGCAGGAGGGAGTCCTTTCAAATGGACTTTGAGGTGGGATTGTTTAGTTTGTATATAGTCCAGCTTTCAGACTACACAGTGATTTTCTCATTTTTCTGTCAGTGTTTGCCACCATGAACTCTTGATTTAGGGTCAAATAACACTCCAACTTATTTGAGGTTTAGTTGCTTCTTTTCGAATATGTCCTAATTTTTGTTTAAAATATAAGCAATACTAAGAATACACACATAAATACGAAGTCACTTGGCAATCTTTAGTCGTGTTAAATTGTGTTATGTGTTGGCACAGCTACTCAAACTCCACCCCGTCCTGTGTGTGACTTGCTGATTCCATGTTGTCCCTGCATGACAACTGTGTGTCTTAATCTCATTAACTGCTGTGTATTTGGAGCTTCTGACCTGGTTTACATTAACTCTTGAGGTTTATTATGGACTATATGTGTGATTATCCAGTTATAAGTGGGACTAAACCTTTTATCTGCTGTAGTTGGTCTCTGCTGGCAGTATTTCAGGTAAATCGTGTTTGTTTACCTTTATTAATCCAGTAAATATTGAGAATGCACGCAACAGACGGAACACCGGAAGTTGATCGCGCTGTGAACGTCTTTAGATAACATGATATTTAAGATTCATACCATGAGGCTATCTTTTTTCAATTTCCTAATCAATCAGACCCAGTCATACACAGTCGTTATTCTCAGCTTGGCAGATTTGTTGCTGCACGGCCATTTCACAAACAATACATCAAAATACTGTCTGTTCACTTCCTGTGAAAACTCTTCAAGCCTCTCAAGTCATTTAATCTGTTATCCATTCCGAAACTAAACACTTGGAAGCAGAGTTTAGTTATTCTGCTACACTGTAACAAACATCCACAACATATAGGACCTGTGCCAGCTCCGACCACCTTTAAATGAATTAACAAACTTTTGTGTTCTTCATTTGTTTTAACTGAATATTAAGTTAAGCAATTACTTTGGACCAGAGGCCAGCAGAGGGCCTGGGGCCTGTTTCACACCTGGACCACTGTGGTAAGGACTCTTTATATACCCTTTATATGTGGTACGTGCTCTACCCAACCATTTCTGTTGGTTATTTTAAGCCAATTACCAACAAATACAGCTTCAAAAGTCAAGTTACTACTAACCCACTTTAGAAGTTTCATCCCTTGCTTGCTTATTGAGGCCTGATAATAATGTCTTCAGACCACTCAACATGTTAACACACACACACACACACATTGATAGATAATGATTCTGGTTCATAAATACAGTGTCAGCATGTAAGCAATTGTTAAAACGGTAACATAACTGCTTTATAATGTTTAAAACAATTACTGTTGCTGTCCTTTTTGATCAATTTTGGGGTCATTTCAAAGAAATTTCAGATATGTTACCTTCTAATCATCACCTAATTACCATGAGATTCATGGACCTGTAAAATGAAGTGTTACCCAGTGCATTTAGGAGGAATCATATAAAGATTTTTATGCAAACTATGGAAGGGAAAACCTTTATTCTACTCTGTCCCTTTATTTATTCCTGTTTATCTTTTTTTCTTTTAAATTTCCAGTTTTGTATTTATTTATTTTGTATACTTTGTATTATTTTCAATACTGTCAGTTACAGAGAAATATCTATCTAGAATATACTAACATTAGCTACCATTATCCATAAAAACCTACTTGGTCATAGCAGACCAAGTAAGGCTTTAGCAGAAAAACCCCTGAGTGCTCTGAATTTAGCAAAGGTTTCCATTTATGCCTTACGAATTCAACTTTGGCTTTGTAAAAGAAACAGAAGTTATATTGCGTTTCTTTAAATATATCAAGCTGTATGTGTTAATAATGCCTTTAAGGCCTTATACAAAGTGAAATGTGATATGTAAATCAAAGCAAAGAGGTCGGTTTGTTGCATCAGTTACAGCTACCCACTTCTGCCCCCTACGTTTCACTGTTGCACAGGCCTCACTTCCCATTGTGAAAAAAGCTTTTAGTTCAGCCTGTATATTAGTTATATTCTAGATTTTATGATGAATTCTGTTGTGGTTGGTTTGTACAGTTGCAATTTTTTAAAACTGGGATATGATATTTATTACTAAAACATAGCTCATGAGCTATGAACCTGACCTGAGCTTCAGCCTGTCCTGCCAATCATTGAATGCATCCTTTCCTGTGTATGTTTTGTATATGCTCATGCTATATATTATTAATGATTTCTTACTTCTTCTCTTATAGCCTGCCCCTATAAGATCCTGAGATGAAATCACATGACGAGGGAGAGGGATAGAGAGAGAGAGAGAGACAGAGACAGAGGAGCTGTGAATGGGAGACGACAACGAGCTCAGACAGATACAAGGACACACACTCATGCTTCTCTCCCTTCGCTGTAGCATACATTACTCCAGCTGCAGTCATAACGATGCAAGAGGGGCTGATGGGAGGGAGGATAGCGGAGTGAGGCAGGCAGGGCGGGGCTGCTGAGTGACAGAGCGGGAGGCAGGAGAGCGAGGAGGAAGCTGCTCAACAGACGACCAAGAAACAGAGGGAGGAGGAAGAGAGAGAGAGAGAGAGATCCACAGGACGTGAGAGCCGGCACCAGAGGAGGGGGGGGGGGCTTCCAGACTGGATGGGCCCAGCGATGCCTTGATGGAGTATGGGCCAGGTTTTAGGATTCTCCCACTGCCGTGAGTCTGCTTTTGTTCTCCTGTTTCCATCTGTGTTTCCGTGTGGTAGGTCTGCATTTGTTTATCTCACTATTCCAGTTTAGCATCTTTTCTTGCTAACTGCTGTAAGCATCGTATGTGTTAGCTCAGCCCCCTCCCGACCTCCCTCCACGTCCTGCCTACTCTCCATTCCTCTCTTCTGCTCCTACCTTTAATAAACACATGGCTGACTAAATGGATGCAGTGCAGAAGGAGACCCTGTTGTTGTTCCCTCCCATCTGTTTGCAGATGTTTATGTTGTTGTGTGCTAAAAGGCTTTGCAGGCAGGAATGCAAGTTATTTCCCCCCTAAAATCTGCTTTTTATTTCATCTTTTTGTCCCAGTAGTCATCTGATACCCTATAGAGTTAAATGAAAGTGGTTTGCATGTGTTCATACGTGTGCAGAAGAGAATATGCTGCATTATTTACTCTGCCTGAGGTTGATTTATTAGCTAATGTCATGCTGGCTATCTAATGTAGTGGAGGCCTTTACTGCTGCCAGTTAAGCTCTGTAAGGAAATGAGTCTCTATTCACTGACCTTCTGTGTGCAACTAGAATTGTCACGTTCTTTTGATCTGAAATTGATATACACATAGTGTTATGTGTATATCAATGTTATGTTTGTATAGAGGTTAATATTTGTTGTCCAAAAAGTAGAAAAAACCCAGTGCACAGCAGTGCTTATCTTCTGGGTGCCAGCTGGTGCAGAGCAAACCAAAGTAAACCATGCAACAAAAATATATTCTAGCGCACACCAGGATAGGATTGACAGTATTTTATTACACTGAAAATAAAACAAAAAGGAGCGAACTTCGATCTGTGATATTATTGTTGTCTCTTAATATTTGTGGAATAAAACCAAAGATTTTAAAATGACTCATAACACTGCAGTGTTCTTAGGGCTTTAATGCTATTAATAATTTCACATAAGTACACCTACATTGACTGTTTTGCGAGGCACATGTGAGATGGTGGAAGAGGTGGGTTTACAGCATGTGAAAGCAGCAACAACACATTTATATTTCTGACACTATTTCGCTACGACATGTTTACTGGTAGGTTAACGTAAATTGTTGACTGTTTTCTTTCAGAGGAATATGGCTCTGTGGCATCCACTCCAGACTCAACGCCTCCCTGCACCGATGGTAATGAAGCAGACACGTGACACTTTGTCCATCCACTGAGAAATTCTCTCACACAGCACTTGAGAGATTCCTTGCTTCCTTCAAAGCCTTTCTTTTGAACTTAACATTAAAAGAATACAATCTGAACACCTCTCTCACCTCTAAAACACCAGCACTGAAGATCCACAGATAAACACAGGAGTACATTTTGATCACAGACACATTTTGGCAGAGTGATGTTTATGCATTTATCAAAGAGGGTTTCATTCACTTTAGATGTCACACCTTGTTCTCTCTGGCATCAAATGACACACCTGGCTGCCTTCATCTGACATATCTATTCATTAAAAGCAAAATCGCTCTCCCTCTATGTCACTGAACGAATATACACACTCTTAGCAGCAGCAATAAACTGCTAAGTGTTGTATTGTTTGTCTTCTCTTTCTCTGTCTAGTGTCTGTGTTTCTCTCGGTTGGGATGACCACATTTCTTTGTTTTGTCTCCGTTCAGGCGGAAATGAAGAGTCGGAGATGTGCGAGCTGCAAACAGCCAGGGAATGGTCTGATGATGAGGAGGGAGGAGATGGGGATCCAGATGATGACGAGGGATTGGCTTCGTCCCCGTCGATCTGGGGCACGCCGCGCCAGAACTCCTTCGAGCTGACTTTCTCTTACATTGCCATCGCTGAGCCCGAAGCAGTGGGAGCGTCGCGACACCTTCGCGACCGACGCAGGGCCGGCTCTCGCGGAAGTCGCACTCCTTTGATCCGCACGGACACCCTGGAAACACTGTTAGACTCCCCGGATGTAGACTGGGACCCTGAAGCCTTCCTCAGTCAAGAGGAAGAAGAGGAAACATCAGAGAGGAGAGAGCAGGAGAGGGGGGAGGCTAGGGCAGCGAGTGCAGCGTTGAGAAGGGAGCAGCACAGACAAACTGACACTATTACAATCCAGCCCTCTCCCCAAAGTCTAGACCCAGAAAGAGAGGAGCCCCTGAGCAGTCAGACCCAGAGTGTCCAGCCTCCCTCTCCGTCCCTCTCTTCCCAGCATCAGAGCCCCTCACAGATACTCCTGGGTGAGAAACAGAAGGGATGTGTGAAGAGGTTTTTTTATATATATATATATATATATATATATATATAGTGGAAGACTAAAAGATGCAGTGTCTGGGGATGCTCAAACACAAAGACTACTTTACCTAGCGATAGCTTCTCATAAAAACCTGAAGGCTATTTGCTCTAGTGACACGTAATCTCAAGTAGGCTGCAAAGTACAGTAGATGATTTGCGTTTATCTCCTTCCCTCAGACATCAACATGAACCCGTCTTTACAATTAACTGCATGGATGCACCTCTCACTTGGCAGACATTGGTTCTGGCTGCCAACATAGTAAAACATCCTGTCAGATATCTCCCAGATCAGTCGCCTGATTAAAAAAAAATAGCCCATGTAGCTGCAGGATTGTGTTAACATGTAGTTTAAATGGATGTTCACAATGGTCAGGAGTATTGACAGGTTTCATCATTTAAACCCAAGGTCACTGCTGGTTTGGCTCAGTTTATTCAGAGGATGCTTCCCAGATTTAAGTCCTGCTGATAATGCTTCCTAATTCCACCTACCTGTCTGCACTCATGAGTGTCAAACTGTGATATGGCAGAAGTTGGTTACATAGTCTGACTTATGATGATCTGAAATATGTTTTCCTGTGGCAGACCTGACTACAAGTGAATGGTGGCCAAAAGTCAGTGGGCTTCTATTCGGAAAAAGGATGTAGAGGCATTTTATGATCTCTGTTTGGGAGTGCAATAAATATTTAGGTGTCATGTCATCAGGATGTTCACATTTTCTAGTTCTTGAAGAAACTTGAAAAAACTGATCATAAAACTATGAAAAAAACTATGAAAAATCATCTGATGTGATTTTATTGGCTTGGTTTACATGTATAAGCAGCCCAGATTGTTCTTAAGTCCAGTATTCATTTAGATGTGAGATATATTGACTAACGCAAGGTGCTGAGTAGTCCAACCTATTTATTATTTCAAAGTGAAATAATTTATATTGACAAATCATTTTACTCTTAACATACCCATCATCAGACTCCTAATAGCTTATGGTGAAAAACTAAGACAAATCAAAGGTTTACAATATCAAATCAGCCTTAAATGATCAGACTCTTGCAACAGACATTATAGTTTGTTATGAATAACTTTAATTTTATTTACCAGAATGCTGTATCCTGAGTTTCTGTAAGAAAAGTTATAAATATGGAAAAAGAAAGGAACGTCTTGATCTAAATCTGCAAGCAAAACACACTAATTTAATATATTTTGTGGGTAGTTTGTGCTCTAACTGAGCATGTACCACAAGTTAGCAGTGATGTCATCATGATAGTGACATCATCTTCTGTTTCCTGGCAGCAGCAGCAGCCTCACCGACCCCCGAGCCAGAGTCTCCCATCACCAGGGAAACAATTTCTGTCAAGCTGCTCACATCTGTGCGACCCAGAGGCCCGGCATCCTCGTCGCCAGCTGCCATTGGTCTAAACTCTCAGGAACAGCTGGTCAGCGATCACTGGTTTTCAGCGCTTAACCTATCAGAGGACCCGACAGTATGCACCCTCATAGCAGGTACAAGATTCACATCTGTATCTTCGTATGTTCCCATTCTTCTGACCGCTGTCCCTCCCATCTCTGTCTCGTTGCTGAGCGAGATCCTTTCTTTGAGCTCGTTAATCAATACCTATATAAATAAAGAAAATATCAAATTTCGCTTTCAGCATGGACGTTCAAGAGCATGCAGATAATGATAGGACCCCCCCCCTCCCAGAGTCCTGGCTGTTCATTGTATCTCCATAGTAACCCTCTCTTGGGATTTCAGGAATGATTGGCTAATTGTGGGGAAAGCATTCCTGGCATTGGCTTACTTTTTGGACACCATCACTGCTGATGTCAGAGTGTATCACTGTTTGACACACACACATGCACACACAGAGAGACAGGTGTGTGTGTGTGTGTGTGTGTGTGTGTGTGTGTGTGTGCGCAGCTTCTTCATATGCAGGTTTGTGAGAGTTTGTTGGCATTTTAGGAGTGAGTGAGAAACAGAGAAAGGGAGAAAGAGAGAGCGAGAGATAACGTCCTGTCTTCCAGCTTGATGGCATTTTAAGTGGACCGTCAGTCAGAGTACAGCTTAGTCTTATTTTAGAGGATATGTTGGGGGGGGCGGTAAACCCTCAGACCGCTGATGAATGGGTGGTCAGGCTGATGACAGAGTTTAGGGTGTCCTGAATAAATAGCACACATGCATCTATTGGAGCATCATATTTCTTCTGGTTTTATTACTTGTTTTAAAGGCTGCATATCAAACCTTGATGCTTTATTTGGCAACTGAAATTTGTCTCTAGCACCGAGTATCGACACTTATTCGCTGATCAAACGGTTTCTGAATATAGTTCATATTCTTGTAAAACTGATTGTATGTAGAAAACATTACAAAAACGTATTTTGTTAAATGAAAAAGTGTTTTTTAGGTATACAAAAAAATGCCGTTTTGCCATTGGCATCAAGACTTACATATCATATTGCCACTTATATAAAACAATTAAATGTTACCAAACCCTAATTGTTGGACTACACAAGGGATTTGTGCTTTAACTTAAATACATGTGTTTTGGCAAGTGAACTAAAATCTATTTATTAGCAGTAGTAGTGGTACAGAAAGATCTGGCTCGGAGACATACCAGAAAATAAAACCCGGTTCTCCTGTTTCAGGTGTTAGATGGCACACGAATATGAACACAACTATATATAACTTCGTCTGAGTTCAAAGGAATAGCATAAATACTGCTTCAGAATCAACTTTTACTGTAAAGAAGAAAGTCTAGTGATTTTTAGAGTATCGTGTGATTGTGTTCATCTTTCTACGTGTGAAACTCTTGGAGTCTTGTAGAGTGGTGGGCGGTGCGGCGAACAAGATTATTTTGGGCTGTCAGGCCTTTGGACTGCTGAGCGAGCAGGAGGTTGCCAAAAACAGCTCGGAGGGGCGAGGGGAGCACAGCGGGACACAGAGAGGGACAGAGGGTGTGAGGGGAAACACTGGAGTGGCAACCAAAATGGCCAGCAAAGGTAAGACCTTGGGCTTAAAGCTAAAAGAGGATAATTTAAGACAGTTCACCTATGCAGATGATGTTTAGGTATTTGCTTACAGTCGTGAACTGACAGTCAGCGACTTCAAAGAGCCGTGTTTGATTTCAGCAAGAAGAGTGAAGTGTGAAGGGGTGGAAACCACTTATAGTCTTTAGTGGTGGACTGTTGGGGTTTGTGACTTCGGTGTAGTGGTGAATAAAGCCGGACTATCAGGGGACTGAAGGTGGGAATTGAGCGGATTTCTTGCTTCTCTTTGATCTTCTTACAAGCAGAGTGTCTGGAGACGGCAGCTTCTGTCAGCTAGAGTGTGTTTGGCTTTTAACTGATGAACTGTTCAGATGTAGCAGGGTAGTCTCTGTATCAGTGGCCTCAATTTGAATTATCAGCCATTCAAATGAGTATTAACTGTCCTGTTGTGGCAGGCAGGGGGTCATTTACATTTTAGTATTTCCTCTTTGGGCTGGCGCGAGCAGAGACATTTAAGACTGTAGTAGCTACTATGAGATTTCCTGGACACATGTGATTAAAGCTGGTGTTACTGGATTCAAATGAAATGGATGTTGATGTTAAAATGAGATGACCTCAGGCTGTTTGGCATTAAGTGTCAGTGTGACAAGTGATTCATTTTCTTATTGGTTAAGTGGCTGGTTAGTCAATTGCTTGATTTGATTGCTGATTTCCCCCATGCAATCACTCCTTCAGTTCTCATTTAAATAATAAGTAACTGAAACCATTAGTGCACATATCAAAATTCCCCTGGTTTGGATTGCGTTATTGTGACAATGTCCTAAAAGTTGAAGTGTGGTGGAGAGTGGATGCAGCTGAGTAATAATTGCCTCCTGATTAGACATGATTACTACTTACTGATTACTCGTATATAAGTATATTATTGTCAGTACAGTACATTTGGATATGGATGGCAATAGAAAGAAAAACTATTTGAAAAGTCTGAAGTCCCAACCTAAGGGCATCTAAAGGCTGCCATGTTTATTACACCCAACAATAAAGTGGTAGAGAATATAAAATGCAGGTTTTCCCACAAGCCAGTTTATCTGTGAAAGCTTGCTTGCTTTCTTAGTGAACATTAAATGAGAAGATTGATACCACTCTCATGGCTGTCCATTAAATATAAAACTGGAGAGAGCCAGTTAGCTTAGCTTAGCTTAGCATAAAGACTTTGTATGAAGATTAGAAAAAAACCTACCTATGAGCACCAATAAAACACACTAACATGTTATCATGTTTGTTTAATTTGTACAAAAAACTGTGTAAATGGGGACAGGAAATGCCAGACACCTGGTGGCGACTCCAGAAAGTCGCTGCACACACGGTGGGCGGAGCATTCAGAGATCCAGAATTTCTCAATGAAGGAGTAGATGTGAGGAAACCATGTTAAACAAGATATTAATCATTTTTGCATACATAAAAATGTGTCTGGGTTGGTACTTTAAAACCTTTACAATGAAAAAAAATGAAGTAGATGTCTCATATCGTACATGCCTTCTGCAGTGCAGTTGCATATTTGCAGCAAAGTGTGGATACTTGTATAGTACAGTACAGTGCCCATGCTTTTTATTTTAATGTTTAGTGTAGATGTTGTGCATAGATTAAATGCTTTCAGTACTCCAGTGCTGGTTTATTTCCATTGTTCTGATTGAATTTGTTGCCTACTCTGACACCATGTGCTGAGTAGCCCTGTCTCAGAATGACAGCAACACAAACAAACACATTGGACAGGTGTGTTCCAGGGGCATCATGGGTATTAATTGTGTGCAGTGATGCTTATAAATAAACCACCTGCTGTCATTGCACTCTGTTCAAAGAGGCTTCCCTTTATTCTAATGCTGAGGCTTAGCCTTTCTCTGACTGACAAGCCCAAAGAGCTGTGCTTGTCTGACAGTGCTGCACCATACAACATACCCTGTAATTACACAACACTACGGGCTGTGTGCGACACTGTTTAGTTTTATGGTTGTACACTTTTTGTAATGCTACATGGTCATTCATACATCGTTACGTAAAGAGAGAAATGTGGTGAATTCAAGCTAGATACTGTACTGAAGTTATCCACTCTTGTAAAACACAGCTCTATGGACGCCTCAGTCTCCACGGCAGCTGTTGCTGGGTGACAGAGACGGACGGCAATGGGGTGTGGAAAAGGGCCTGATGACGGCCTGATGTCTTTCGGCAGGTGCTGTAAAAGGCTGCATTTAAATTCTGCTCGACCGCTTGTCTCCCTCTTTCATCTGAGGGCTAAATTTAGCCCAAGCCGGAGCCTGACATGTCTTCGTAGCTGCTATGTTTTTTCTCATGCTGGAGGCTGGAAATCCCTCTCTGCCTCATGTCTCCCCCTTCCTCTTCTCTGGCTTCTCTGGCCTCTCTGGCCTCTCCTCCCCTTCCTATCACTGTGTCGGAACTACTGTATCTTCCTGCCACTCTTCCTCTCCCTAGTTCCCCTAAAAAAGTGAAAGACCATTTGAAAGGGCTAGAGGCTGAGTGATGTTGCTGCAGCTGCTGTGTGAAAACCAGGAAGGATGCAGTAACTCACAATGCTGTCAGCTGTTAGTAGAAAAACTCCTTGAAAATCCATAAACCGGCTTCTTTATTATTTGACACACATCTGACTTGAGCATTTCTGGGGCTGTTTTATATAAGTTTGGTAACTGTTACAGTATCAGCGGTATGTAAATAATTCTCTAGATTGTTTCAGGACCTCTGAATCGCTGTAAATCTAATTTGTTCATTCATTCAAATTCAGTTATTCAAATTCAAATGTCTGATTATCAGTCTATACTTTATTAACAGCCACCTGTATATTTCCCCATAGGTTTTCTACTCCGTACTTTATTTCCTCACCTTCTCCCCCTTCACTTTTCTTGTCTTTCAGTGATGGACCTGATCTACTGGAAGGACACAGAGCGGACAGGCATGGTGCTAACAGGGTTAGTAGTTGGCCTGCTGTCCCTGTTCCAGCTCAGCATCATAACTGTGGTCTCCACAGTCTCCCTGGCTGTCATGTGCTTCACCATCTCAGTGCGCATCTACTACCAACTCCTCTACATCCTCAACTGGGGCGATGGACAACACCCCTTCAAGTAAGAGTGACAAACAATAAACAACAATAAATGTTTTTCAAAGCAATAAATATAATAATATATACAATTTATATTTTCTTTCTTTGATTACACATATTTCCTGCCTTTTATTCACCTATTGTCTACTGTACTTACATCCAATAATAAATATTTAGTGGTTCTAATTATGGTTATTTATTGTTGGGGTGTTTCTATCAGCATAGCCAACTGAAGTACTCTGTAAATTATTAATGAGTGATAGCCCTTCCTTTTTATGAAATGACAACTGCACTGACTAAATTGATTGTTTTGACCAATGGACAAGAGTGACAGGAAGAGATTTATATTTGGGCTTGAGGGATTTCAGCCAAAAAACACGAACCACAGTGTCATTTAACATAATAAAAACATAATTTACTTAACAGTAAAGGGAGGATGACTGTGGGAAATACTACAGAGAGAGTCATAAGAGTAAATGTTTTTGTTTATTTTCAGTCCTTTTGAGCTTCCTTTTTTGTTGTCTCATTTCCTCTCAGGTCATACTTGGACCTGGACATCAGTTTCAGTGGCGAGGAGGCCGATCTCTATATGCAGAAAGCAATCGTCATGACTCTGTCTGCTGTCGAATCTCTGAAGGGACTCTTTTTTGTTGGAAACCTCTTTGAGTCACTTAAGGTGAGCAAAGCTAGCAAATTAAGTTTGTCTTACTTACGTTGTGTGTGTGTGTGTGTGCGTGCGCGTGTGTTGTATGTGTGTGTGCTGTTCAGTCTCGTACTCTCTTAATGACCTGTTCTCAAAGATTTGCTTCATCCTGTCCAGATTCTCTCTCCCTCATTAACCCAGCCGTTAGTCCGTCTCTACAGCCTTTCATTTAGCTCCTCTGTCATCTTCATCCCAGTTCCCTCCATCACTGGAGATGACAGTATCGCCATGCCAACCGTCTCTCATTATGCTAACTCGGAGCTGAAGGCTCTGGTCCTAATTTAGGGCAATATCACTGACGGCAACTGTCAGCCTCAATGACATATTTTTGGTAATCATGTGGAAAGCAATCAGTCCCTTCGGTAAAAATCCTTTCAAAAGAATTTGAATTGGTACTAACAGTATAAATAGGAGGTGGTCTGGCTTGCTTTTCTTATCTGTGCTTTTTATCGAGCTTCTGGGTACGCCTCTCTTGCTAGCAGAGCCAAAGCATTATGTTAATGATTATCAAGCCTAAATAAATCTTCCAGTATCACACATGTACTGAGGCACAGTCTATATACAGTATATTCACTTAAACAGTGCTTGAATGACTTTAGGTTCAGGTAGTTTCTCTGGAAGCTAATTTATAAGGTACTGTCATTTTGAAATAGCCTATGATGACACCAAAACAGTGGCTGTAGCTCAGGCAGTAAAGCGTGGTTAATCATAGTATCATTTGATCCATCTCCAGTTCCTCGTGTCCACATATTGAAATAGACAAACTGAACCCCAAATTGGACAAAACAAATGTTGAAGGACATCCAGCATGTTTTAATTATAGTACACACAAAGAGTCTTTGCTAAAGTAAATAATACTTTATGTATGTGATATTTATGTGCACAATAGTAATGGTAGTTACATAATACACAGTTGTCAATATCAGTGTCAATAGAAACCATTTCTCTTCACACTAATTTACAAAAAAAAGTCAGGACTGGTATGACTAGTGTTTTGTTCATTCATTGCAATGTCAGGTATCATTTTAACAGTATATCTATGTAAATCTTTCTGAACATTTCTAAACATCTTTAGTGCTGTTTAAAGGTGTTCTAATATTTATAAAAACTGGTTTTCAGTTGACAGTGCAAATGGTAAAAACAGGCAAACCCCAGAAGGAGCCTCCTATGTTCAAAAAACCCCTGCAAAAATAAATTACAATGCATATATTAATATTTAGAAATTCTACTTTTGAATTAATTTGTGCTCATTTCCTTCAGTGACAATTATGGAATGTAAGCATTGCATTGCATTTTACTACACATCAGTAACAACCATCAGTGTTAGAGCATAGTAGGTAGACTTCACTGGTAGTAAAATAAAATATAAAATAAAATATAAAATACTTTATTTGTATCAGTATCAGCTGAAATATAATGTCAGCATGTCAGCAAAACATCAGTTCAGTTCATCCCTAATATAATTATTCCATTTCAGTAATTAACAGCAGCAGTTTGTGACCAGACAGACTTAACACATTTACAGTAAATGCTAAGTCAGTATGATCTGACTGAGCCCCTAAACCCAGAGGACCCCATAGTCTCAACCCTGACCTGGCCGGTATGTGACATGACACACGGGAGGAGGTACGAGACGCCCGGGATAAGCTGGATTCTCTTTCCATCTGAGACAGGGGTGTCCCATATCAGGGCAACACTGGATCCCACGCAGCGGTGCTGTTAAGTGCTGTGACACTGTGAGATATAAGGGGAGCACGGAGACCCATATTGGGAGTCTCGCACTCGGTGCTCTTTCTTTTCTCTTGCTTTATTGAGTCGTGTGATAGATAGCCACAATAAAACGTTGCAGGGAATTATGCAGTATTGCAGCATGATTTACTGCTTCTTAAAGGAATACAATTAAATACACATGAAGCAGAGCTGGAGGGTTTTTATAGTCATCTGCACGCATTGTTGATGAATTTAACTGACTCTACGCTGCTGTTCCTCTCTTTCTTTTTCTCTTGGTTTTAGCTCCTGGTTCTGTTGTACCTTGTGACGTACCTGGGAGACCTGTGCAATGGCCTTACTCTGCTCATCATCAGTAAGAAACAGACATCACCCGCTGTAAATATGGAATCTATTAACATACTGGTATCTGTCACATTAACTACTCTACTTTTCCGTCTTCTTTCTTCTCCAGGTGTGATCGCTGTCTTTTCTCTGCCACTTTTCTACAGACAACGCCAGGTAATAACTCTCTTAATTAATACTTATTACTGTCATTTTTGCTGGTCCTTCATTTCCATATCCATAAACATATCTTTTTCTGTTATTTCACAGGAGCAGGTGGACACCTACATTGCAAAAATCCAGGCCAACTTTGACAACATCAAGGACACGTGAGTATGCCGCCATCTTGTGGCACAAAGTTGCCATCAACACAGGTCTACTGGTATTTTGCTACTGAGGCAGTTAGTGTGGTGGCCCTGAGGGTTCAACGCACTGCAAGTTAAGAAAACACATGCAAACAGACAAAACACAATCAAATTAGGAGAAAATGCTTGGCAACACATGCAGAGTAGGAAAATACAACCAAATACAGAAATTCTGCAAGTAGCACAGACAGCAACGGAAACTGTTTTCAGGGGACACCAGAAAGTGATGAACACGGCTGGGAAAGGTTTTCCAGTACCACTTATGGATAGCAGCCTTCAGTAACTTAAAGAATCACAAACCATGGCGAAATACGTCCCAGCCGGGTGACAACCGTGTAGTGTTTTGGCTTAAATAATATTTTCAATATATAGTCATAGACTTCAATTTCTTTGTGTTTGTAGGTTATTGTTGGTTATAGAAATAGTTTATGGGCTCATTCCCGTCAGCAACTGGACTTTTGGACTGCCTGGAGATAGTATTAGGATAATTGTTGGGTTAAGTGTTCCATTGGCTGTAGCTAACCTATAATCCGGTTAGTGGGCAGAAAAAACAACGTAGATGTTAGGATTGACCCTAAATTTGTTGACCTGGACAAATATTCTATTTCTGTTGCACAGCTTTCAAAGACTTGCCCATGGTGGTGGCCCTCCTCCTGACCCAACTCCCGGTGGCGCCAAACCCAAAGGCCAGTAAACGCTGATGGAGAAGAACTTAAAGAAAAGCTCCCCAGAGTTACAGGCTGTCACTCAGATGTCTTACCCAGCAGTCAGTGCTCCAGAGAAACGGAGCTCCAGAGACTGGGGAAGGGAAGGGAGGTTACTTAATAAATGGACAATGATGAGGATCACGCATGGTACTTTATACTCTAACTGTATCTAAGTTATGGGGTCAGAGGTTGGGGTTTTGGGTTAAAACTTAATCAAGGTGAAATCAAGGTGTATGAATCCTGGATGAGACTCTTGCTGCTGGCGTCAGAGGTGGAAAGATTCAACGACACAGCTCGTCACACGTGACCATCCTTGGAAATACTGTTTTTAATATATAAAAATGACTCAAGAAGTGTCTTAGATTGTTGAGAGCTATAGTCCAAATGATGTACTAAGACCAGGAAGCTTCCACACCGACAGCTACTCACCCGAGGAAAAGGGAAGTCAGTTGTTAAGGTGATTTAAGTGAGGGGACAAATACAGGGGGTCATCATTATTCATGGCAACATAAAAAAAAAATGGCAATTAAGGATGCATGTGTCAGCGCATTTACTTTTCTGGCTGCATTTTCATTCTCATGACAGTTTATCTGGATGTATGCGCGTGTGAGTTTGTTTGTGTGTGTGTGTGTGTATGTGTGTAATTCCTGACATACAGCTCGCTGAAATGAAACCTAAAAGCAATTAAAGTCACATTTCTTCTATCTTTATTTCGCAAAACTTTCTGTTTCTTCTCGTCCACATATACTTTCACTCACACAGCTCATTTGTTTGAGTTTTTATTTTTTTTATTTTATTGCTGGTCATATTTTCTCATGTTACTTCATTGCCTTTAACACTGGGTGTTGCTTTTCCTCGTTCACTGATGTAAACGGGAAGTTGAAAACAGAATATTCAGAGAGATAGAGATGGATTCCTCTGTTACGAGTTCAATAGTAAAGATGTATCATAGATGGAATGAAATCACTTGACAGGAAGCAGACAGGAAGCATCGGTGGTGCTTAAGGTGTCAGTGTTAATTTTGGGATGGAATGGATCGATGATACAAAAAGTGCTCTCAGATAAATATCCTCTCCTTAATGCGATGTGAGGGAATGTGGGCGTGAAATACAGCAGGTGCCTTTCTAACTGCAGGTTATAGTGCATGATCTGATTCACAGTGCTTACAACTGCTGGCAACAGCTGACAGCAACTTCTCCCATAACAAACCACTTCTCATTATCGGACCATTGCCTTCCTGAGAATGGTGTTTTGTACGTGTATAATACTTGTGTGATAGTACATGTGTGCCATGACAAGGTATCTTATTCAGAATTGTAAGTAGATCCATTTTAGGAATAAAAGTATTCAGGATTCTCTGCAGCTCATGTCCACATTTCCCTTTAGCGCTTGCTTTTAAACCTCCCACCAAAATGTGTCTGTTCCTTTGCCTTATTATCGCATAATATACCCGTGTGCTGCACTGAAGGCATTGTTATGTTAACAGACATGATCCATGAAACCCAGTCATGATGGTCATTAGCCTTAGACATCATGTGCTGCTTAGTATTGGACCTACAGTAGTTGCACACACACTGGCCTCCTGTAGCAGTTTTCTGTACTACTGCAAATGTCTTTTATTCCAAGAGAAACTTCAGCAAAAAGAATGGCGATAACACTGAAATTAAAGGTACTCATTTCCTTACCTATATCCACACAGCTTGGCATATAAATAAAAAGGTTAATTTACCAAAATCTGTCTTGCCAAACTATATTGAAATAAAACTGCTGTTAAACTAGTCAAACTCATCGTTTTTCGTAGAACTGTCTCACTAACTCTAGACTACCACATGCTTATGTTTTATATTTGCTGTGTGGATGAAAGATAGAATCAGTCAAAACAGGAAAGTAACTAGTAAGTAGTCCGTCTAGTTACGTGCATTATAGTAGTACACTGATAATTTTGTATTCTTGAAAATAACTAGAGTTTTAATCTTGGAAAAATAAACACGCTGAAACAATAAAACAAGTGTGAGGTTTTTTTTACACACTGCAGATAGATTCATGAGAGATGTTAGAGACTGGACAGAAATACTTAGACCTTATTATAATTGAATTCCCAACATAAAGGTAAATTGACTTTTTGTAGAGGCTGTAACATGGGCCCCACATTTATATAAATTGTACTTACAGGGTCCCCACAATGGATTATCAGTGGGGACCCACAGAGATATCTGTATGGGTTCATATACATTATTGTCAGACTAAAAACTGTACATAAACTGTAGGGATATCATATTAATTGGTATGTTGTAGTTACAGATGTTTCTGTAGCTTGGTACCCTGTTTGTTTCTGATCCATCCAGGGTTGGTTATTCTATTTTACCTGCAGGACCAATCTGATTTAAAGTATGTGCATTTACCAGTGGTGGAATGTAATTTAGTGCATTTATTCAAGTACTGTACCTTAGTACAAATTTGAAGTTCTTCTCCTCTTCATGCCATTTTATACTTTATATTATATTTCAGAGGACAATATTGAAGTTTGTGCATTTATCTGGCAGCTTTAGTTAAGATATTCTAATTTATAAAGATGTTTGCATATAGAACATATGAACAACGTATAACATTTAATATTATGTTATAAATTAAAATCCTGCATCAAAACAATTAGCTGATTTGAACTGATTAGTTGCAACTAATAACATAATGGTTGTTGGTCAAATGTGAGGATTTACTGCTTCTCCTTTATTTCATTCATTTTCATTTACTTTTCAATAAATTTGTGGATGAGGACTATTGGCTGGACCAAACAAACATTGTGAAAGTGTCACTATTTTCTCATATTATACAAAGCAGGCAATCAATCGATTACTTGATAAAAAAATTTAGAGTCTTAATCAATTCAACCTCAACCAACTACAACATTAAAAATTCTGCTTTTATGTTAATTCATTAGTAATGATAATCTAATAATATAGTAGAATAACAATCAGAAGAGACATTTTTCTGCATTGAGTAGACTGCTTTTACTTTTACTTCTTAACATGTTCCTGATTACCTTCTTAATTCGGTATCATTTTCAGTTCCGCAAGACTTCTTTTACAGTGTGGTTCTAGTACTTTTACTTCAGTAAAGGATCTGAGTACTTCCTCCACCACTGGCATTTGAATTGGGGCCCCTTCATATGTTCCGCTTGCCTTGAGAGTCTTCAGGTATGTCAGTTTTTTTGCTCTTGCATTTAACCACAAGGAGGCGACATAAGTCAAAACATTACTTCCATTCCAGTTTTTCAAGTGTGTCTGACAGGACTAGGACACAGAATCCCCTCAGCCACTGGACAGTTTGAAAAACTACCCAATCAGAGGGAAAGTTACTTTTGAATCAGTCCATTTCTTATTCAAACTGAGATAAATGTTGCTCTTGTGCTGTACTGCAGCTACAGTCTGTGGCCACTGGCTGCTCCTTGACTCAGCTGGCTACAAATGAAAAAATGTCAGGGGGTCTGAGGGTTTGAAATTTCAGTAGTTTATGTATCATGTTCAAAATGGACATCAAGGTTGTCTTCTTCTCACTGGTGAGGACAAGTCTGGACTTGCTTGCACAGGGTCAACCTCCATGAGCTCATGGCAGTTAGTTGCACTGTGTAGTTGAGATAAACTCAGTAAAAGAATAAAGATAAATGAAATCAACTAGCAGGAAGAAGATAAACAATGTGTGTCTTTTCTATTCTGTTCTACCCCCCATCCCCAAAGAACCCAGTCCAATCTTCTGCTTTATATTTACTAAAAGAATAAACATTTTATGATACAGCCTCTGTCAACCTGTGTGTGTGTGTGTGTGTGTGTGTGTGTGTGTGTGTGTGTGTGTGCAGAGCTCCGCTGCTGGGAGGTGAAGTGGGTGGGGTTAGTCAAATCAATCTGGACATAAAATGCCTCAGACCCGCCCTCTCATTGTAAACTACAGAGCCCCAGTCTGTAGTCCTGGTGGAAATCTGTCACAGTGGATTTGGCAGCGCGCAGGAGAGGAGCAGAGGTTTTACGCACGCTTGCGATCATAAGCATTTGGCAAACTTTGTATTAGACAGGGGATCCTGTTCTCATGGTGGGTCCTTCAGCTGCCTGTCGAGGAGAGCGCAGTCAAGTGCTGGCTGATTGAATGTCACCCCCAGTCACAATGGATTACGGACGGACCATGGCTCCTCCTGTCCCTCCGCACAAGGCTACAGCAGCCCGGACAGGGCAGGCGCAGGAGCGGCTGCTGAAATGCATCCTGCTCGGAGACGGAGCGGTGGGCAAAACCAGCCTGGTGGTCAGCTATACAACGAATGGCTACCCAACCAAATACGTCCCTACTGCATTCGATGACTTCTCAGGTAAGAAAATATTGCCATTTTAATGAATTAATAGCAACAAAATAAATAAGGGAGATAAGAAGAGGGAATATCATCCCTAGAAGATAATATAGTTGTATAACTGTTCCAGTCCAGTTAATATCCAGTGTATAGAGATTGGACCCTAGGATTAAATTTGGGATAAATTCTGGTGAATGAGACTTTAATAAAGTTTTTTTTCAATATGAGTTGTCTCTACCTGCCTGTCTGTCTCATTAATTTCCACTGAACTCTTCTTCAACTTTGCAAGTTTTGAGAGCACTCTGCCATTCTGCCATTTGCTGTTATTCCATTGTTATGATAGACGTGTTTGGGTTTCCTGTTATCTGTCATCCATCAGTGTTAATGCACATGAGTTATCCTCCCTGATGTATCCCGATTTCCATATGGCACGGTTCCACGTTCCAATCTGTCTCACTAGTCCCAGCAAGCTTTGTTTACTGCAAAATAATAGGAGAGAACAAAACCCCTTCAAAGGGAAAACTTGTTTCAAACGGATCAGTGTTGGCATCAAAAAATGAATGAAAGAACACCAGTGACCTGTTGATCACCTTTATTGCTTCATGATCACATAAGACAATCCCTCCTTAGCTTAAAAACTGAAAACCTAACTCTGTCTACATATGACCACCAGCTGTTATTGTTACTGCTGGATACAAGTGTGTAAATATATGAATAATCACACATTAACACATTTTCATGCTTATTTAGAATTAAAGAATAAATACTTAATTGTATTAAAATTTTAAATAAAATTTTTTAAAAAATTTTTATAAATGAGAGGAGAAAAAAAAAAAAAAAAAAAAAAAAAAAAAAAAAAAAAAAAGTTTTGGATTGCACAACTCTGCCTATTGTTGTCAGCCTTGACCCGCGAGCCCTCTCCTCTATACTGGAATGGGCACATCTGTTGCAGTGGCTCAGAGGCAGAGATTGTCTTTCGCCCCGGCCTGACAGAGAGTGATTGTGCAGTTGGGGCCCTTAATGGTGATGTCACTTCTCGGTGCCCGGATTTGAGAGCGTCCTCTTGAAAGCCGACTTCTGAGCACTTACGCAATGCCACAGGTGGCAGAGACACAGAGGAGCGGGAGGCTGGGAGAGGGGACGATAAGAGGGAGTTTTGGTCCAGAAAATCAAAGGAGTATCATATGTCAGGGATTAGGAAATTATTACACAATGGCTGCTCTCTCTCTTGCTTTCCCTTCTTTCTCTCCTCCCGCTCTTTCTCCTTGCTTTTGTTAAAGCGGGGTGCTGCGATGCCTGCCCTACTACTTGAATAGTTCCAGCAAACTCTTTGATCAGGTGGTATGACCGACCACACACTCCAGGCGTATTGTAAATGTTTCCATGTGCCCGCTGCCTTGAATTGTGCTCACTCTTCTGAAAAGAATAAATGGCCCTATAATGAAACTCGCTGTAAGATGACTCATCCACTTTTCCAATCTGGAAATGAGGCCTATTGGAATAGAGTCACTGAACAAACAAAATCTCCTCTGTTTTTACCCCCCACCCCCCTATTAGACAACCTTGGAATGGCCTCTGTCAAAACACAATAGAGAACAAAGCTCACAGAGTGGTCCGAGCGATGGTAAAGTGTTATGGTCTCAACAGTAACTGGCAGAGTGGGTGGGCGAGACAGAGCAGGCCGTCTGCGAGCTGGAAGAGCTGAGCAGGGGGTCTTTGTATTTTCAACTGGCAGGCTTTTGTTTATTCCACAGAATATTCTGGTGGGTAGTTATATGTGTGTGTGTGTGTGTGTGTGTGTGTGTGTGTGTGTGTGTGTGTGTGTGTGTGTGTGTGTGTGTGTGTGTGTGGTGCGTGCGTGTGTGTGTGTGTTAACTTCTGAAGTGTCAGGTGGGGCTTTATAGCGTACACAAGCTTAAAGTAATGTTGACAGCTGTGACTTATTTTCTCTGTGCGTCTGTTTCTGTGTCCACAGCTGTGGTTCAGGTGGATGGAAGCCCGGTTCGACTACAGTTGTGTGACACTGCAGGACAGGTGAGTTTTTGTTCACACACAAACACAAATTGCACTTGACTCAATGGATAACAGTTTGGCCATTGCTTTGGTCTGGGCTAAAATATCTCAACAACTATTGAGTAGATTTGCCATGAAATTTTGTGCAGACATTCATGGCCTGAGGACTTTGGCGATTCCCTGATTTTTCATTTAGTCTCCCCATAAAGTTCACATTTCCATCATCCACCACCACAGATTCTTATAAAATGTGGTACAAATATTCGTATTTTCTTCAGGATTAACTGTAATAACTTTGGTGATCCCTTAACTTTTCATCTAGTGCCCTCGTCAGGTCAAAGTTTTTAATCCGTCCAATACTTTATGACCAAATTCCTGCAAAGCTACTAACATTCCAAATATAATTGTGAGTAAGCTTAACATCAGCATTGTCATTGGGAGCTTTAGCATTTAGCTCAAGGCACTATTGTGCCGGAGAACAGCTTCAAACAGAGCGTGGCTGTTTCATGTTACAATACAATATATAAATCTTTTAAGCCGTTATTAAGTATACATGGCAGACATTCACCTCCTCCAGCCTCCAGCATGTTTTTTTTCGCATCTTGTTTCTTTATCATTGTAAATCAAACACATTTAAATATTGGACTGTTGGTCAGATGAAATGAACCATTTGCGCACCTTGAATTCTAGGATATTTTCACCTTTTTGGGACATTTCATATAAATTATTTGATTGTTAAAATATTCCTTAGTTACTGTTTTTGTGTTTCGCCCATTTGGCCTTTACTGCTTTTCATTCTTCATATGGGCCTCTTACATGCTATTTCAGGTAGCTCATCTGTATAGAAATGGCAAAATTCCTGGGCTCTGCTGTCAGTCTTCATCTGCAATGATAATAACATTCCTCCACAGGATAGTTTGCATTGACAGAGTACTGAAAGGGAGGGATAGGTTAGACTGGAGTTGACAAAGCAAAAAAAAACAACCTGAAAAGTATTCCTCTATGTCTCTCTGCTGTTAAGGACACAGGGAGCTGGCCCGGCAAAAGTTATTGACTCATTATTATGTTGGTACTGTTAGCATGGAGCATGTGTGGTTGCTTCATAATCCAGCTCAATAGAACCCTGCCACGGGAGCAGCATATTTGACATTCACAAACGCTGCGAGGGCACTGCCAGTTCTCCACAGAATCAAAGACAACTTGGCTATAAACTGGAACGAGGCATTTGAACAAGCCCCTAATATGTGTACAACCTCACAGCATGTTACGAGCTGCACACTGTGTTAAGACTGCATGTACACACATATGCACGCTGACGCACACACACAGACAAGCTTGGGCAAACACGGGCAGATAAAAGTCGACTAACACTTACTGTACTTATGCAATTTCATAAGAGGGGAGCTTGCTCCGCAAACAGGTTGGGGTGTGCCAAAAAAAAAGAGAGATGACAGAGAGAAGTAGAGAGTGAATGAGAGAGAGAGAGTGAGCTGAGACAGAAAGAGAGAAACGGTCTGGAGAAAAATGATAACAGCTGCTGCCAAAGCTGATAAACAAAGTTGTTCCTTACTCAGAGATGTTGATGTCTGTATATTCTGCAGATGGACCTACGTCATTAGATAGCAAAAAGTACAGCCAAAGTTTGTGTGGGAAACTCACAAGTTGATAAGTGTCCATTGCATTTATTGAGTTTCAAATCCACATTTGCTTCTGCAGATTTGATTGTGTTTTAAACTCAGGAGGCGATGCAGAGCATTGTTTAGGCAAAGGAGGATTAGGAGATGTGTGCTGGAAAGAAGAGGGTTAAGAGAAAGAGGGAGAGGTTTGTGTCAGGTTTCTGCCAACCTTAATCTGTGTTCTCAAGGGTGTGTGGCTCCAAAGTGTTAATTTAAGAGATTTACTAGATGATATGAGTGGGCAGGGCTTGTGTATACTGTATATTAGCACAATATAAACGCCATTGAGACAGTTTTGTCATTGAATGGTTATTGGCACAATTCCCTTTCCTATGATGTGATTGTACTTGAGTGTGTTGACCAGTGAAATGAATACTGAAAGTGCATTAGTGTGTGGTCAGTCTGGGTGAGAAGTGAAACACTGAATGCTGGGTATTTTTATTTATATCATGGTCAGCACCACATTGCTAACTATCTGTCTTTCTGTCTCCATCAGGATGAGTTTGACAAACTCCGCCACTTCTGCTACAGCCGGACTGACGCCTTGCTGCTCTGCTTCAGCGTGGTCAGCCCCGCCTCTTTTCAAAACGTCTGGGAGAAGTGGGTCCCTGAAATCCGCCGCCGCTGCCCTCTCACGCCCATCCTCCTCGTAGGTACACAGTGTGACCTGCGGCAGGATGTCAAAGTGCTGATTGAGCTGGCAAGGCGCAGGGAGAGGCCGGTGCTAGAGGAGGACGCCAGGGCGCTGTCAGAAAAAATTGGGGCAGTGACGTACATTGAGTGCTCGGCGCTGACACAAAAGAATCTGAAGGAGGTCTTTGATGCAGCCATCGCTGTGGGGCTGCGACACTCTGACAGGAGAGCCAGGCGAGAGAGGAAGGTCCGCAGCACAGCCGATAAGATGAAGATGCTCTCCAAGTCCTGGTGGAAGAAGTATGTGTGCGTCCAGTAGGCAGGGAGGATCCGATTGGCCCGGTGACTGATGATAAAACTGGAACTGCTGACTTATTGGCGGGGACTGAGTTGGATGTAAGGACTATTTTTACGTTCAGCTGGATGACCCCAGATGTGGCAGCCAGAATGACTTTAATTCAGCGGAGCAATAGTTCAACAGAGGCAGTGTGCCTGCCTGAGCTGTAGAGTGGGGATATTTTCCATTGTTGATGCCTAAAAGACAGATAGCATAAGGCTGTAACCACTGTCTGCTCCTCAGAGCCAGTCTGAACTGTTAAATATGACTGTGACCAGCATTCAACCAAAAATTATGGAGCTAATAAAGTTTTATGGCGCATGGACTGCATATCATACTGGACGTGTCCAAAGGAAATGTGAGCTGATTTAGAGGGGAGGTGTTCAGACGGTGATGTTATGTACTAAAAGTATACTCTCCCTGTTTGTCTGATTTGATACCCTTCTTTAACTAAATATATTATTTCCTGTGTTATACACTGTAATTAAGCCCCCAACACATCTGATAGATCATTTTTATTTTACTGAAATCAGAATATAAAGTTAATATGAGCTGCTCAGCTTAAACCCCCAATCGAAGATGCAATAATTTTACTGTTGAAAGTCAAAGCCAGTCGTGCACCTTGTATTTTGAATGAGAACTTGTTCAACTAATTCTCTTTCGGATTACAATCAAATGTAAATGAGTATAAATTCTTCTTAAATCTATTAAGTTCTGGGGATGTGAAACTGTGGGTTGAACATGTTGTAGTCCAGCCATTCAGTTCTGTATAACTGCAAGCTGGTGCAGGGATTTCTCTACTGTGCCACATTTTGAAGTGTTGATACAGCTGCCACACAGCTAGAGGTCTGCAAGCTCCTCACCAATACACACTTACTACGGTCGATTGATGCTACAAAACATGGAAGGTTTAGAAGTTTCAGTCATTCACTTTGACTGAAAAGCTTCATTTAAGTGTAAAATAAAGCCTGTTTGATAGTATTTAGAGCTTAACTAATACAAGGTTGCAGCAATAAGTTGGGTGGTACCACTGTACATTGCACTTATCACAGACAGTCTAAACACATCACTGAAGACTTGCCATGCAATGGCCTTTGGACCAGTGGTGTGAATTAGATATAGAGCAGGTAAATGCGTCTGTGGTGCTTGAGATTTGGGTTTACTCAGAGTCACTGGAACCGATCTGCATGTTCCCTGCACCACTGGTTTGGATGATCACAGGGTCAGTCATTGTACTCAGAGCCTTAAACAGATAATTACCAGTCTTTGTCGGTCAGTATATCGGAGCTCTCTCCTCTTTTTGAAATGATACAGTAAATGAGGTGAAATCACCAAAGAGATTGATTCTATGTTTGCTTCTTATTTTTCAGAAGCCTGTCATTCAGCTCTGTCTATTTATCTGTTCCTTCTGGGCCAATAACTGATCAACAGCAATAAAGAGCAGATGCATGGAATATTTTATGTCATTATGTATGTTACATAGTAATCATTTATGATGTTTGTAATGTCATCAGGATAAATCTGTGTGTACATATATAAGCGACTCAGTCATTGGCTGTGCTGTCCAACTCTAAATGGTACTTAACATTATGAGTGTTTCAGTTGGTGTCTGAGAGCAGTTTGTTGAGCTGTATGAGCGGAACAAAATAAAATGTGAAATATTTAACCTGTTTTCACTGTTGACTCTTCCATGGAGATATGGTATCTTCACTGTCACACTGTAGAGACAATTAATGTGGTGATAAGAGTGGACGACACGCTTGCCTCCTGAGGTCAAAGTATAAACAGGTGTTTTGACAGATCTCTTATGTTTTGTATGTAGACTATAAGAAAGTGGAACCTGATCTAAATACAGAGGTTTCCAACCAAAATGTAGGTTATTGCCAAAAGTATTCCTGCAGTCTTACAAAACTTTAACGTGCCTTAAGTGGAAAAATACATTGAACCATATGAATAAAAATGCACTTTTAGTTGAGGGTGATGACTTGAAAACTTATTTTAATGCATATAAACTTAAATTTTACTACTACTACTACTACTACTACTACTACTACTACTACTACTACTGAATTTTAATAAATTAAAAAACATACAGTGGCTGTGTCCAAAATTATTCACTAGTTAGTTTAGTTTCATTTACATTACGAGAAGACATGAACTCTTCCCCAACTAAAAGATTGGTCAAGGCTACTATATAGTCCAATATACAGTATAGCATGCATGTCTTAATGTCTGTTAAGAGTTTATTATATTATTATACCCTATATTTGACTTAAACTATCCCATAATGCACCAGAGAAAATAGTGTACAATTGATGGCCACTAACCATCATGCATTGCTGAGACAGAAAGGAGTTAAAATACACAGACAGCTGCTGGATGAGTAATGACCTAAGTAGTTTTTAAATTTTGCCATGTGATTCACCACATAGTCCCCTACATATACAGTTTCCTGTATAGTGAGCGGTGAATAAGTAAACATTTTCAGACAGTCAGTCTCACATTTTTACAAAGTTGACAAAGAGTTAAATGTGACTTCAAAGATTTAGCCTCAGAGGTTTTGTCGGCATCCAGACTTCTAACTATGCAGGATCAGATGATTATAATTGCCAGAAATAGGCTTTTCCTCCTATTCATAGCTACGTGTCTACACCACAGTATACAACAATGGGCAGAGAGTGACAGTTAGCTAGGTATCTTGTACTTGTTTAGAAGCGCTAATGATAGGGTAGGCAGCTAAAAGAGAGTTTGTGTCGTCTGGCAGACTGCAGATGAGTATGTTGTCCAGCCTCAAAGTGGGTGAAACTAAGGCAAGAGTGGTGCCAAGTGGTCTAATTATGATAGTCAGGATGGCTCCACTTTCCACCAATATTTTAGCAGGAAACCCCATTGTTGTTTCCTCGCAAAGTAGCCATCTTGAGTAACGTCCTGTGATTAAGCATTGTGGCTTTTTTGTTTGGCTGTAATACCTACTCGTCTGCTAGGTTATTGTCTGTGGTCTGAATCTCGAGCTGTCAGTCATGAGCACAGACAGGAAACATATTGGGGATGAGGTCTACACCTCTCTCAGATTTCACGGCCAGATTGTTAGACTGTGTATCCATGTGCAAGTGTTTCTCCACTAATTTAGACTGCTCCGCTAAATCCAAATACCAAAACTGTCTCTGAGGTGGAAAAGTGAATAAAAACTCTATAAAACAGGAGAGCCCAGCTTAAGCAAACACATCTCACCAAACCCTTGAAGACTATAGAATTTGTGTGGAGCTGAAAAAATATTATCATTCAGTGGTTATCTAACTTTGCACTGGAGCCATTTTATGCAGCTTCAGAAGCAAAACCAACATTGAAATGGCCTGTGGGTTGATCAGATGGCTTACACTGTGGCAGATATTTGGTTTAGCCCTATTGAGTTGCTCTGTTTCTCTCCAAGTGGATTTGGAGCTCTAGTATCTGTTGTTAGTTTAAAGAGATCATTTGCTGAAGGAATAGCCAGGATTATAGAAATACTGACAACCAACAGTTTTTGACAAGCTACCAACCAAACTCTGTACAATACAAAATACGTTTATTAGCTTCTCATCCAATTCTTGGCTGTCCTGCCGAAGGACAAGTTACTACCTTTATATCTGTTCATTCAGCATGAAACTGGAACCAGCTGATTGTTAGCTTAGCTTAGCATAAATACTGGAAACTGGGGGAACAACAAGCCTGGCCCTGTCTAGTGCAAAATCCCCATAAAATGTGTAGATTAAACATAAAAGATAAAAACGTGTTAATTATTATAAGAATTGTTGTTTCTTGTTTTTATGCTAAATTAATCTAACAGGCTGCTTCATACTAAGCATATGTCCTGAAAGTTTAAACTATTCCTTTAAGATCTAAATATTAGATATTAGACATTAGAATCCACCTAAAATAAAACCAGCATGTGTAATATGTAATGGTAAAATATAAACTTACTGAAGTGTTAAAGGTCGCTACAGTCCTAGGTGGGAACCTTTAAACTAATGATGGGTGAGATAATGGTGTAAATGGGTGGCCCAGTCACTGTAGCCTGCTTTAGCTTTTAAAACTGATGGTTGTTGAACTTTTCAGGCCCATAAACCCACTTTCTTACATAACTTCTGAGAATCATTTAGGTAACAAGTGAACTCTCCACATGAAAGAGCAGCTCTGTAATCAGTTTTGATGTCTTAAAGTTGGCGAGGGAATTCTCCGGCACCCCTGAGATAATTGCCAGCATAATGACTGGAGCTCAGCCCATGGGACGGGATTACTGAGAGACATTAACAAATTTGATCAGGTCTGTGGGGTGGGAAGGGATCCAACCAGTAGACTGTGATCTACTTTGTACATTGTCTTTAGGATTAACTATTGCCCAAGCTCTTGTAATGTGATGCAATATGTCTGGGGCCCCGATTAAAAGACACCCACACATAGACTTAACCAGCGATTGAGTACAGTTCATTATTGTTGACTGAAATCTGCTTTCAAAGTATGTTTAAGACCTTAGTCTCTCTTATAAGTTACTTAAGTGACTTGTTCTCATATGATCACAGGACTGTAAGCGTTAAGTGCTGAGTCTCTAGTGTGACTGTGACACGGAGGTTTACTGAGAGATGAGAATGGTGTTAATGGTTCAGTGTGCTTGAAATGTATGGAACCTCAAAATGTTCAGGACCTGCTAACAGCTAATTCGGCATACTTTTAATGGCGCCTCAGTCATTACTCCTGCAAACTTTGCTGTTCAGACACTCATATGCTCCATATACTGTAGGTGGTGAAGTGCCAGTTCACCGGGGTTTTAAAGTCAAAAGTTCAGTCAGACACACATTTTTTTTTTTGTCCACTGAGTAGGTTTTTAAACATATGGAACCAGACAATAACCCTTTCAGTGGGGTGGATTTTGAGGTCTATGTCGCGGTGGAAAGCTTCAGTTAGTACAATGTTCCCTGTTCCTTTATGTACCCTTAAATCTGTCAGATGGACTACATCCTGCTGCACTGAGGCTCCCTCCCCCCAAGGACCACCACTCTTTTACAAAAGATACTCATGCAGTGTCCCAAACAGTTAAGACACTGGTGGGGTTTTTCCCCCCTTTATCTAACCTTTGTGTCTTGATTTACAGACTGCTTTGTGAGATAATAATCACCAGACTTTGCAGTTCGCTTCAGCTGAAAGCATTTTGGCATCTTTTAGGTCACTGTTTTGATTTTATGACCCACACACCGAACATTCGGTTCACTTGCTTTCTCTCCTGTAGACTGTGTACGAGCTCCTAGAAGGTTTATGTTACGAAATAAGAGAATCTCTTTGCTTATATGACATTAATTATTTTTTCACTAATATATCTGAATGTGGGTCATTTGTGGTTTTGAGGTCTTGGTATTTACTGTAGTGCTGTAGTACTTCACTGTCCTCACCACCTGTACTGTATTACACCAGTTGTGGCGAACTGCTAAGCCAACACAGTAAAAAGTACAAAAACAAAGGTCAAACAGTCTTTTAGTCTGTCTTTTAGAAATCATCTGTAAAGTAAACAGAGATTGCTGGAAACTGAGAGATGAAAAGCAGAACCTGCATCTGAATAAAGATATTTATCTGAACTCTCTCCTCATTTCTTGTAAGCACTACAACCACCTACCCACTGTTAGCTAACACTGTGGTTGCAGGAGTGGCCCGTCTGGCATGCTACAGTATGGCGTTGCTGGCAGGATTATGTTTTAATAAGCTTATATAAACACCCCCCACAGTGTGGTCTCATTATGGGAAGCTAATTGAGTCGCTCTGTCCCGGGGTCATTGGGTCCTCTTTGAACAGCTCAGTGTTTTGCTATAAAGAGGCCCATCTCTGCCTCCAGAACATCTGTCCTGTGGTTTGTGGAACATGTGTCTTTTCTTCAGGCAAACTGTTTGGACGTGAACATCTTTGTGTCTTTGCACTTGCACAATACAGTGTAATTATTTATTGGTGCTTCAACTGCAGCCCCAAGGTTCAGTCACATTTTGAGGATAACTATAAAAGTGTCTATAAACTACAATACCCTGCTGCTTAAGCAAATTCTTTGTAAAGCAATTTAGCCATTTGTCAACCTGACATATTTTCTCCTTGTTTCCATGCCTGCCTCTGACTGCCCTCTCAGAGCCTTTCTGATGTTTAGGTCTGTCTATCTGTCCATACAACAGTTGAGTTGGATTGCCATTCAAATTAAGTTGACATTTGTGGTTTTCAGTTAAATATATTGATGGATTGCCATTAAATCTGGTTCAGACATTCATATGCCCCTCAGATTGAATTGTAATAACTTTGGTGATCACCTGACCTTTAATATAGCCCGGTCACCAGGTAGCATTTATGCTAGTACTAGTACTAAGATGGTGAACATGGCAATCATTAAACATCAGTTTGTTAGCATGCTGATATCATCCTTTAGCTCAAAGCACTGGCCTGCAGCCTCACAGAGACAGCCTGGCTTTAGGCATCTTTAATTTGTAATATAGTTTTTGTTCCTCTTTTATGTTTTTTCTTTCCTTTATCACCGTAGTTATGTGCAAAGACATTTTCTGATTACATTTGAAGTAAAAAGGTTCATGCAGTTTGTTGCTTGCTTCAAAAGCACGCACACACTCTGTGTCTTTGTCACGTGTCTTTGCCTTTACAGTATAT